TCCTGGCTCTGCACAGTGCATACAGGAGGTAAATAATCCATAGCATCCATAAAGGTGAAACAGAAAGCCCCACTGGTGCACAGGCCCCGCTCTTGGACCCGTGTGAAGGACAGTGAGACCCTGACCGTCTCTCCTGCATCCCACTCTCCAAAGAACCGTGGATTGCAACTGTACCTGGTCCTAGCTCAGCTCTGTGAGGTGAGGGAAGACTTCTTGTTCACCTCGTCCCGATCTGCAAGGAACGACCAACAACCCCGCCTCTACAACGAAACAAAAATACTTGTCCAAACGATTTTTACCTTCCCTCTTCAGCAGGGAATTGTATGTAGCTGTCACACCTAATTTTGTAGAAGTTCTCTTTGGCCACGAAGCTTGGAAGCCTTCTACCCCGGTCATCCACGAGGAAATCCAGCCAGCACTTACAGACACCTTTATGTGATGGACACCATAGGAATGGCAGCCTGATTCCCCTATTTGTCTCACGTTATCACTAATTATTACTACAGCTCTTGAAGATCTTATTAACAGCAAACACAACTAAACTGCACTGACCTTCTGTAGATTAGTGTTTAATAAAGCTACAGCCTGTGTCTATTTACCATAAACCCATCTCTCCTGTATGAAAGCTTAGTGGGCCAGCAGTGAATAGTTTTAAGACTGTGTTATTTTCCCATGATTTCCATTTCAGTCATTGCAATGTAGAATTGGCTCTCATTATTTGAATCATCATTGATGCTTAGGTTGAGACTAAATAGATGCCTTTTTTCTCTTTCAACCTATGGCTTTTCTGAAGGAACTGACTGTTAAAACATAATAGACATTTATTTAATTGCTTTCTGAGCAAATCCTAAGCCATGCAACAGCATAGAGGTCAAGAAGAGAAAATCTTCGGGTTTTACTGCCATTTCAGAATGTTATCATTAGATGAGACCTTGAGACATCTGCATGTTAGTTAATCGTTGTTCTGCTTTCATGTATAATGACCTATTTCTTATAGAAGAGCTAATATCTATAAATTTTTCATTTGCTGCCTAGAGATTTCAATAAAAACTAAGAATTCAGTGTGTGTTTCATATATCAAATTATTACTGTAAAGATTTTTTTCAGCTGCTTAAAAATGGTTATATACAGAGCATGTACTGCCTCTTTTTTACCTCTCAAAAAAACAGGTTCTGCTGGATGAGAGATACTGTTTAGTATATAAAGTCGTCTTAGTTTTGTCATGTTTTTAGCTCTGCTCATTATTAGATGAATAATCCTGAAACCTGTAGCATTAAACGTAAAAAAATATCCATCTTGCTTGAGCCACTCTTACACCAGAAGATAAGAGTCTGTGAGCATGTATTACACATATCATCCCAGCTGTCAGAGGAGGGCTCTCATGTTTAAGTGATTTAAGATTATGGATCAGAGGCCACTTGTTTCCCCATAAGTAATAATAATAAATACGCTAATGCTTTTAGTGTCATTGTTAATTCCTTATTTGTGAACACTCAGAGACAGGCTGAAGCGCTGTGGTTTGAAGACAGGATGTGAAGATGAGCTATTCCCAAGGAGAACAAGGAAGCCAAAATTGTGTGCTTAAGGCACCATCACTTCAGTATGGGAGAACAAGGCCTCTTCCACATACAAGGACAACAGACTGGGGCTTTAAAACAAAGTTCTGTTCGGGAGAGATTGCTCTCACAACCAGCAAGGACTAGATCTTCATTCAACTTCCTCCATGCTAACTTCTACTGCTAACTTCCACTTTGCCTTCAGTTCCCATTTCATCCTTACCAGTTTTAGCCAAAGATCTTCTTTGGGACTACACACTGAACATGTCATTCAAGAATGGATATTTGAGCTCTGATGCAACTAATCTACACATATTAAGTGGTAGTAATATGTGTAGTGGTAGCAATTCCAATCAAGTTATTAACTTACATTTTTATTTCAAGCATATGAATTTAAAATCATTAGTTATCAAAGAAACACATGCACATGTGCTTACTTTTACTCCATCAAATTGCTAGGATTGTTCATCACCATAGGAACCTATTGTAGCACTCATATAAGAAATTTCATTCTTTGTTAGAGCATTAACCTTCTTGTTCTTTGAATTTGGATTTCAAAACAAAGCCATTTCAACATGCTGAGTGACTGAATGAAATGTATTATAAATTTGTGGCAAATGATGTTGCAAAACACATTCCAATGTGACAATGCAGATATATTTGGAACATTTTAGGATGTAATACTGTATGTTAGGTTGAAAAACATCCCTGGATGATGGAAACTGTCTGAGCTGTCTGATGGAAACTGAAAAGTTGAGAAATTCCTCACTAATTATCATGTGTCATGAGCACATGTGTTTTGCAAGATAATAAGAAGCTTATTGGAAAGTTCCTAAAAATTAAGGAGAATGGGAAATCATGTGATGCAAAGATAACCAGACAACAGACTGGTCAGAATCTCATTACTGGAGCTTTGAAAACTAGACTGGAAGAAACCCCTAAGGTCACGTCCAGGCTGTCAGACAAAGCAGTGCGGAGAAGCAACTCAAGACCTGGGGCAGTAATCCCCTATTCCAACCTACGTTGCAGCACTGTCTGGATTTAGCAGGTCAGCTGCAGGTGCAGTGTAGTCCCATTAGCCCCACTGTGTCTACGGTAATAAATCTGACTTGACTCTGTGTACCTTGGAGGTCCCTACTGTGCACTCCCATCTTGCTGCTCTAGGGTTAGTACAGATGGATTTAATTTAAATGCAAAGGGTCTTAAGACAGGGCTTGAAGGGGTAATGAAAGAACTAATGCAAGAGAAACGATCCATTCTACATGTCTAGTCTCTGGGACTGTACCACTGTTTCTACCATTTCTCAGCTGGGATTTACAACATTTTCTCATTTGTTTTGGTGAACCACATTATAACACCTTCCTGAGTGGAGATAAAGGTAGGAAGGCTGCCTGGCTATGACACAGCTTTCCACCCTTTCTAAAACAAATCCTGACTTTGGCTGAGGTCCTGCAGCTGAAAGCAAACTGCCTGATCCTTACACTCGTACAGACCCAGGGATGCTCAGTGCAGGCACTACAGGCCACTGGTGCTGTTGCTTTTGCAGACTTGCAGGCTGTAAGGGATACAAAACACCAAAATATTCAAACCGGTGCTCAAGTTCTTACGTTTATCTTGTCTCTGTTCTTCTGTAACATGGGCTTTTCTGGGAAGTTCGATTAGATGCAACTACTGATGTCCAGATGCAGAGGTTCCTGAAATCCTTCCACTGTATTAAATAGGTTTTGGATCCAGGCCTAAGTTTAGGCAAGTCTTTACCAAGGGAAAATTGTTAAAAACCTAGGTCACAGATTGTACAGCCATATTAATTATCTAGCTAAGCAGCCACTACTGTCTTACAGAGCAGAGAACACTGCTTACCATGTGTTGAAGATTATGGCTCTAACTGCATTTTTATAATCTATAAAACCGGACATGCGGAAACTATGGAAGAAAATTAAGGCATAGGTTCTCCTGATTAACTGCAAAGCATCATTAAAATCTAATGAAACTATAGTGGAATAATACAGGATTCTGGCTTAACTGCAAGGAGATAAATGCAAATGAAAGTTGAATTTTCATATGGTTTTGAGTTTACACAATAGGACTGAATGCATTTACAGTAGTTCGCAATATAAAAGCTCACTTTTAACACTATGAATCAGCATTGGGAAGTTAGGGTATTAGTGTATAAGAAGTTAACATATTAAAGAATGTAACATACTGAAGCACAAGAATCAAAGAAATCAAAATCCTTGTTTCTTAAAATAGTTGTATTTGAGATAGTAAACCGAATTTCACAGCAGATGATTAATAAGATAACTGCTGTTGTATCAGCATGATGTAGACTAGATTTTTCAGTGTAGCAACTTCATCTTGGCATACCTGAATAAGCTGCATCATCATTCCATATTACGCAACAGATTCAACTGAAGCAAGAACTCCAAAGCTCTGCAAGCACTAGACATTTTAAGATATTAATCTGTCATGACACTTCCTTACCCTCCCTTGGACATCTGCCTTATAAGTTCTTAGGAGGGAAATCTTCATGGAAACTGGAGCTTGAATTCCTAATTTCAGCTGATGTATATCAGGTCTACAGAAGCCACAGGAGCATCACCAATCTCCACTGATCAAGAATCTAGACCTAAACCTGTTATATCTTGCCTACATTCAAGGTATTGCAGGTGGAAACCCTTCCTTCAGCTCTCTAAAATATCCAAGGCTAGAGAGACTCAGTGCACATATGAAGAAAGAGAGGCCCTAAGGAAAATTCACTTGGTCTGTCCTGGCACACAATGAATCACTCTCCGAAGACGACCTTCTCCTTTAATCAGCTTTTGAAGAAACCTAAATGACCAGTCCTTTCTGAGGGCTAAAGTCCTGTAGGACTTCCACCCTGCATGGCTGCCAGCAGTGCCACATTTTTTGTATCTCCTTACCAAAGCCCTAAAGTTCTAGCTGAGAGACTCGAGCTCAAGGAGATCAATCTCTACTACCATTAAATCCTATACTAATTATGCTGATGGATATGTCGATGTCCTGGGCATCAGCAAAAGGTCCAAGCCAATCAAACTCATTTCATTGCAACTCACAGATGCCAATACTTTTCAGAATAATACTGATGTAGGTTAGACACCAAATTATGTTCTCAGACTAATTTGAAGACCAATTTCCCATTGATTTCAACAGTTAAGTACATTAAAATTATTTAGTATTTAGGCACAGTAAGACTGGAAAGCAGAAAACATTTACCATAATGCAAAATAAAGGCATATTTTCAAAGTAGCAAAACAGTCCTTCTTAAAAACATCCAGTTTTTCATCCAAACACAAATATAATAATGGAGTAGCATGCAGTTAAGAATTTGTTAGTAAGTTATATGCTGTTATACAGTCCTGTTTCTAAGAAAGTACGCAATGGACACAAACTCTCGCTATCTAAATTGTTACCTCGTACTCATACCTTCTCTGTGTCAATTCCTTTAGACATGGACCAGGTTGAGACAATATAATCCATGACTCTTTCACTAAGGCCTTTTGGGACTTGATATAATTTTAGGAAATCCCTCACATTGTTCAGCATCTCATGGTATCGGTTGGTGTTGGCATACATTTGCTGGAAAATGGTAGTGACGTTTCCAAAAATAGTTGCATAAAGGAGAGCTGAAAAAAACCAAAGGTAATCAAAAATAAATATGTATGCTCCAGTAAATGCTACTCATAATTCAAGGATAACTTGAAAGAATTTTATGTATGGTTACAAATTACTGCAAATGCATAGGAGTAAACTGAAAATTTCTGTTTATGCACACACTCTCAAAAACATACATGTACAGTTATTTATTGGATTTACCCATACAGCTCATACAGCCACTCAGTCTGCATTAATTTATAAAATCAGTCATACAGATAATGTCCACACATGGAGTTATTTAAAAACAGTCAGTGCATTTTAACTCTATACCCTATACTAAGCCAAACTAATTTTCAAACGTAGCTTCAGCCTGCCAGTAAACCTTGAAGGCACTATCTAAAGAATCATGTGGATCTCCTGTACAATCGGCTCACATAGCACGTGCTATGAGTAGAGAATGGCCTCAGTCCCAAAGAGGAAATGATATGGAGAAGAAAGGAACCTGGAAAACTGGCAAGGAGATATCTATACAACTCGTGTCCTGTGTCCATGGCCAAAGTGTGCACAAGAAAGATTCAGAGTGGCATTTCACAGTCCAATTTCACAGCCAGCCCCAGCAGATGACTTGGGTATGTCATGTCAACTCTAGATGCCAGTCACTAATGATTCCAAAGAGAGAAAAACTGGATTAGCAAACAATAGAAAGTCCCAAGTTTACCTCATTTCTGAGGACATATCACTAGGGCAGAAGGAGGACACAGTAGAGTAGGAAGCACTACCTCAAACCCACACCTGAAGCTACCTTCTCTTCTGGTTTGATTCTCCCCTTGCCAAACATGCCACCATTAATGTCAAGCTCAGCCAGCTGAGTTGTGCAACACCAAAGAATGACATGCCTTATTCAAGAAAAATCACGTTTTAAGTAAGCCTTTCCAACTGTAAAGGCATCAACCTCAGTATACTATTACAAGTGTGATGCAGTGAACACTATTTGATGAAGAACAGTTAATTTCTGAACCCTAAATTCAGCAAAGCATTTAAGCAAAAACTTAAATGCACACCTTTGCTAGAAAGACGCTTTTAAAGTCAAGCAAGTTTAAGGTGCCTTATTGAGTCACAATGTAATTACCCTTGCAAGCAAGCCCAAAATTGCATTCTTCCATTAGGCATTACAGATTTTGCAGAAAAAAAGAATTATTCTGATATCTTATAACACCAATGTGCAGCACTTTACTTCTGCTCTTGACATTATCAAATACACAAGAAATGTGCCTGTCATTTTTAATAATCTTTGCTTGGAGGTACTTTACAGCAGAATGCAGCTATGCATTTCCACATTGCTTTTTAAAAAAAAAACTGCAGCCTACAAATGGCAAGAAATAACCCACTGTGAAAGGAAAAATGCCTTCCATCTCTCACTGCATAACATCTTCCCTCTACACAAGACACTTCTACCTCATTCCAGAAAACTCACTTTGTTTCATACTCATTTACTGTTGTTTATCACCCCTATCTGAGAGGTGGCATTTTTAAAGAAACATGGTGCTTTCCTAACACCTGTCTAATAGAAAAACTGTACTTTCATTTCTCACAGTGCTTTTTACTATGTCCATGTAAAAATTAGATGTTGAAGTTCATCAGAAATACGATGTTCATTGTTTCATCAAAGTCTTGGGATTTTTCATCTCAACACACAAGATGATATCCAACAAGGTTACACCATGTGTAGCAAAGATGAACATGGGGTTTCAGTTTTAGAAAACACATCAGATTAATACTCTATGTGATGTCCAGAAATAAAGCTCTTTGCAAGGGTAGTTTTTTTTCCTTGTTTTACTGATTGTTTTATCATATCTGCTAGCTACTGAAAGGTTTTCTCTACCTCTGTACCCATTCAGATAGGTATTTCTTCACCGAAAAGGTTATCAAGCATTAGAACAGGCTGCCCCGGGAAGCGGTTGAGTCACCATCCCTGGAGCTATTTAAAAGATGTGTAGACACGGCACCTAGGGACATGGTTTAGTGGTGGATTTGGCAGTGCTAGGCTTACGGTTGGACTCGATCTTAAAGGTCTTTTCCAACCTAAATGATTCTATGATTCTATATCAGCACTCACTCGGAGTAAAAGAGTATGTGGATTATAAAAAAACTCTAGATGGATGAATGCCACCTGACTTTTTTCTGTCTTTTTTTTTTTTTCCAGCTTTCACCACTCTTTTGGACATTTGTAGTGGGACAAACATGACGAAGTGTCACTTCTTCTAAGCACAACATCCGTCATTCTTCTGAAGAACAGGTGTTGATTTATCATGAACTCAGCTCATCAGATATCTGAGTGCAGAGCATCTCTTGTCTTGCCCTCTGATGTCAGATGCATCTGAAAATGACTATGACTATAAATGTAAAGAGAAGTCATAACTGTCCCCGCAACCCTGCCTTTCTGTATTAATAAAATTTATGCAAACCTGTAACTACAGCTAGACTGCATATGCAATTACAATGCATACAACCCAACTGGCCATGCAAACCTACACAGAAGACACAGGCTGACTGAAAATGTAACACAGTGCCCTGTAAGGTTCGGAAAAAAGAGATTCAACTCTGACATCTGCCAGGTTGGAAACAGCTGAGACTGCCATAGTGAAAACAGCTTGTCTGAAGCAACTGGCAAATATTACCTCCTCTACAAAAAAAAATTACTCTTTGGCAGAGACAATTTGTAGAAAATATACAGCCAGAAGAGAAATTCTAGTTCTGTCTCTCTTAATATAGGGTCCTGGAAAGTTGTACTTAAAAAGAGTATGTTTGTTCAAGAAATTAAGGGTAGAATAAATCATTGGATCAAGCCTGCAAAATTGCTGGAAGCATTACCCAGCAGTACCTCACTAAGCCAGAATTCATGAGCCCTCACTGTAGAATCTGCACAGACAAAACCAGCATTACCCCTCTGTTGGAAATCAAAGCCTTCCTTTGCCTCCTATTGGAAATGGTAAAGACACATGGTTGAGCTCATCTAAATATTCCACTTTTCTTACAGGTTACAGCATGGGCGTCCTTTGGCAAACATTTAAAAGGAATCTACTTAGATCTTCACAGCTTTGAAGCTGTGCCTCAAAGACTCTCCTTGCTTGTGGTGCTTCCCTACGTAAACACTGGTGGCTGTTGGGACTGGTTTGTTGTTTTTTGGGGGAGAGCACATTTTTCATAATTTGGCACAGAAAATCCACCTCTCTCTATAAATCAGCTCCCCGTCCCTGTTCTCTACAGGATACCTAGAAAACAGGGTCATTTAAAAAAAGCTGATTATTTCTTGTTTTGCAGGTCTTGGTATGCAACAAAACAAGTTCGTGCTGATAAGGAAATAATAAATATATAAATAAAATCATTTGCATTGCATTTGTTACACCTGTTGTGACACTCCTCTACAAGGAAAGGGTCCTCTGCTTGGGAGGGTCTACTGAGAAGAGGTTAGTCCACCTTAAAAATACAAGTTACCTGCCTTTGCTCTTCCCCAACCAACTTTAGGCCGGGGTAATTGCATTAGCTGCAAATATGACAGAGATGGGACAGAACAGGATCAGCTGCGTAGCTGGCAGAGATGTCGCAGCTCAGGGAGCCGACAACCTCCGGAGCCTGTTGGATCCCCTGTGCACAGCCGCACACGTGCAGGCACATGCGCACACGTGGACATGCTGGCAAGCATCTAACGCTGCTCCTGCCTTTCTCAGCCTTTAAAGGTTTAAGACTCTCCATGAATGACCCTTAGCGCCTGTGATTAGCAAATGAAGATTTCTCAGAGCATCCCTATTTAATGAGCAAACACTGAAGTGCCAAGTGTGAACCTTACCCCTCACCTTTAAAAAGCGAAAGGCAGAGGAGTGATACAGAGGGCATTTCACTTTTGTTGTATTTTAATTATTTTTGGCAAGAGGAAGTGGCAGTACAGATCATTTGCAAAAGGTTCTGAAGGAAATAAAATACTGTCCCTCTCTTGACAGTAAGAGGATTTGAACAATCTCTAAAGAAATCTCTAAAGGTATACATACACTTCAGTAGTTTTAATTTAGTCTCTCCATTTACAAGAAATGGGAGAGATGACGTTACAGAGATTAAAGGTGAAATTACTTTACCCAGTTTCTTGAAATGACTAGTTAGGTCAAACTGCATTTATCCACCTTCTCTTTAACACCTCGCATTTCTCCAGATGTTTTCTGTTATGTTTCTACAGCCATGCAATGCTCATTTACTTAATTGCCCTGTGTGTGTAAATCTGGAACAGTCTTTGCTAGATTTCGTAGAGATCAATTTGATATAATGATGCAGAAACATTTTTTCTCAGTCCTGAAGGTGAGGTAGGTGGTTCAACTGTTACTTTAATTTCTATTTTTACTCTTCAGTGTTGAAAAAGTTCCCCTAAATTATATACAAGGATCTAAGTGCTATGTATTTTTATATATAAAATGTGTGCTACTATATTTGTACATGCATAAAACAGTTTTGAATGATTTAGCAATAGTTAACACTAATAGTTAACACATAAATCTTTATGCCAGTTTAAAAACAAGGAACTTTCTGGAAAAAAATTTATCCCAAAGCATTTCAGATCTCTTATTATCCTGGCCATATGCTAAATATGTCCAGATAGGAACATCTGCCTTTAAGAACTGAAGGTTTGACTAAGAGAGCTAATTTTCCCTATGGTCTGCTCTGTGCTAGAGTATTATTAATCTAAGCATATATACCTTTAAATTGTAATTGTAAAGAAGAAGATGATGCCGTGATCCTGGAAGAATATAGATGCTTATTTTTGCATGCTCAGGCTAGATGTAACTTTTTGAATGAATTTTTGGAATTAGGTATTCCTGGAAGATTATTAGATCAATATCATTAAAGCTGTATCATTCACGAGAGATTTGATACAAACCCCAATATATAGATACTAGACATAATTAGATATAAGCCCAGTACCCAAATATCTGGTTGATTACTTTAAAAGGAGAGCAGTTTCTATTACTCCCTTCCACCTCACCTTAATACATCTAATTATATTGCAAAACTTTTGCAGGCACTATCCAGTGTGACACCTGGCAGCACAGTGCAGTGTCCCTCTCCTAACTTCAACAGCCTCACTGAGATGCAGCAGCAGCGACAGGCTGCCGCTGCCACAATGAACAGCTTTCTTCAAATCCATCAACATTATTCAACAAAGTGTGTTACTTGGAAGAAAATAATGCTTCTAAGCCCCCTCCCTTATCATCGTCTTACGGCACTTTTTTGATGCCTGCCCCGTGCTGCCCCGCAGCCTCAGCCTCCCACCTCCACCCTGCAGCAACACTCCCGCCTGCCAGCTGTGCTAGTGAAAGCACCAACACAATCCCCCGGTTTTACAGGTCTTCCAAAGGCCAGTTTTAATTTTGAATCCTTGGCTCCAATAAAAATTGTGCTGTTAAAATACACCCCCCCATTCCAGCAATGCTGACACCAGTTTTACAGCAGTGTTCAATCAGTGTCCTAAATACAATTACTCCCCATTTAACAAGGAGGGGATATCAACACCAGAGCATACCAGCTTTCACATTTTACTTCCAGAAGTATCCAAAGTAAAAAAAAAATCTCTTTCCTCCAATTACACTTGTAGCTGTATCGCTGTACAATCCTGTGCCATATAATGCAATATATTTATCCTCCCATAAGCCCCAACAATGCATTGTTACACCCGCTTTGCAGAGGAGAAGCTAACGGGCAAAGGACTGGATTCAGCAGTGAGCTTCAACTCTGAACTTCTTACCAACATCATCCGACTGCTGAAATCGGCGGCGGGGTTGGACATTATTGTGT